GTCTCTCTCTGTCCCAAAAATAAATAAACATTGAAAAAAAAATTAAAAAAAGAAAAAAGAAAAAATAAGTAGTCTTACATTAAATAGACTGAATATGTAGTTAAAAAGTTGCCAAAAATGGAAATCTCCAGACACAATTGTCTTCACTGGTAAATATACCAAACATTTAAAGATGAAATAATGTGTAGAATCTAGTCAAGTTCATGGAAGCAGAGAATAAGAATTATGGTTGCCACAGGCTGGGAGGAGAGGGAGATGGAGAGATGTTGGTCAAGGGGTACAAACTTTCAGTTATGCAAGAGGAATACGTTCAGGAGATCTAATGTACAGCAATATGACTACAGCTAATAAAACTGTACTGTGTACTTAAAATTTGCTATGAGAGTAAATTTTAAGTGTTCTCACAAGTAGGAAGAAAAAGAAAGAAAGAAAAGAAAGAACGAAAGAAAGAAAATGGTAATTATGTGAGATGATAGATATGTTAGTTAACTTGATTGTGATGATTATTTTACAATGTATATGTATACTCAGAGCTGGGATGGGGGAGATGAAATAACACCAATTCAATACAAACTCTCCCAGAAAACAAAAGTGGAGGGAATGCTTCCCAGCTCATATAAGGCCAATATCAAAGTCAAACAAAGACAGTAAAAAAGAAAACTACAGTCCAATTTTCCTTATGAACATAACACAAGTTTTCAACAAAATATATCCATTAATATATAAAAAGAAAGATATACTACAACCAGGTATACTTTATACTGTAAGCGCAAAGCTGGCTCAATATATGAAAATCAATCAGTGTAATCTATCATTTTGACAGGCTAAAGAAAAACCATATGCTCAAATCAGTTGATGCAGAAAATCATTTGACTAAATCCAACATCCATTCATAATAAAACTCCCAGCAAACTAGAATTAAAAGGAAATTTTCTCAATCTGATAAAAAACCACAAAATTACTAATGCTAACAGCACACTTAATGGCTGGAGTCTTAATGGTTTTCCCCCTAAAATTAAGACCCAGGTAAAAGTCTCCACTTTCCCTAAAACAATTTATATAGTACTATAAGTCCTGACCATTTCAATAATGCAAGAAAACAAAACAAAACAAAATTGGAAGATTGGAAAGGAAGAACAAAACCTATCCTTATTTGTAGATTGCAGGATTCTCTACATAGAAAATCCCAAGGAGTCTACCAAAAATTCCAGAAGTATCAAGTGAGTTTAGTAAGATCACTGAATACAAAGTAAACACATAAATATCAATCATACTTCTACATATTAGCAAAAAAAAAAATTGGAAATGAAAATTAGAAATGTGGTACTATTTAAAATTGCTCTAAAAAATTAAAACAAGTTTAACAAAACATGTGCGGGATGTATATGGCAAATAATTCAAAATGCTGATTAAAATATCAAAGGCTTAAATAAATCGAGAGTCATGCCATGTTCATAGATTGGAAGACTCACTATAGCTCAGGCTCCCAGGATTTTGGAGTAAAGTATGCCTTTACTTCAATGATAACTATCCTCCATTTGAAAACCAGCTTCTGATTTGCTACTGGGTTCCCCATAGAGACTAAACTCCCTAAACATGGGATAGCAAGTGACTATGTGACTCAAAATATCTATCATGAGCATGATAATCTATTTCACTGAATCAAAGTATTGGATGTATGAAAGACTATTCCTTTGTTAAATGGAATGGTAATTACAAGACCAGAAGATACAAGCAAACTGTATAAGCAAGTGGTGCACACTCACATGGTACTAACTCCTACTACCTTAACACCTGATCCTTCATGCTCCTTAGAGCCCCATGGGAAGTCCACTATAAACATTTGACATTTCCAGAGGAGGAAAAACACCCTCCTTGGGTTATAGATGTGTCTGCAAGGTGTGGTGACATCATCTGGAAGTGAATGGCTGCTGCATTATAGCCCCGCTCAGAGTTAACCCTGAAAGACTCTGGTAAAGAAAAATTCTCCCTATGGACAGAGTTTTGAGAGGTATATTTGATTTTTCATTTTGTATGGAAGGAGACATTTGTTATTTTTTTTATTTGAAACACTTCACGAATTTGCTTGTCATCCTTGCTCAGAGGCCATGCTAATTTTCTCTGTATCGTTCCAATTTTAGTATATCTGCTGCTGCAGCTAGCACAGAAGGAGACATGTTAAGAGTCATTTGATTCATGACCAATGGCTCAGTGAGTTGATTGGTATTCCAGGGCTAAGAAGAAATATAACTGGAAAATTAACAAGGAGCTCTGGAGGAGAGACTATGTGGATGCGCTTCTAAGAATTGCACAGCGTAGGGGAATGTTAATTCTCATTAGGGGATAAGACATGAGAGGGTGGAAAGCAAATGAAGTTTGGATGTTTATACCTTTGGCTCCTTATGCTGAGACTTGAGTTGGCCACAATGTTCCTATTAGTAAGGTCACAGCTCCCTTAAGTGCACTCTTTTCTGCCAGGTTGTAGTTAATACTTCCTGCCTCCATAGCAGTTCTTGTGGTGATAATGGCTCCCTACTGTCACTAGTCACAGGTGATTCATCAACCCTGCCCGTGTTTTTTATTAGATCTCCTTAAGTATGCCATTGTTTCTTAATTGACCACAGCAACCCTGATCATAAACTACACAGGAGTGGAAATTTTTATTGCCTATTATCGCAGTATCTAAAATGATGTCTGTCACACTGCAGGTTTTCCATAAATGTTTGTTGAGTGAATATGTGTTTTGTCCACTTTCCTTCCATTAAAACATGAATAGCAATTTCTTAAACATCATTAATAATCAGTTTTCAAAAATGCATGGTATCTGGTATTAAAATAGATGTGAGGAAACAGTGTAAACTGTTATAACCTTTCTGAATACTATTTGCATTTATCAAATATTTAACAGGTACACATTTTAACTGGGTAAGTCTATCATTTGGACATTTGTGCCAAAGAAATAATCACATATATATACAAAAGATGTAGGGACAATGATGTTTGCTATGCATTATTTATAATAGTGAAACTTGGAGACAAGCTGAACATCAATCACAAAGATTGATTGAATAAACCTGATACGCCCTTACAATACAGAAAAGAATGATAGTTCTACAAAGCCTGACCAAATAACCAGATCAGAAGATAACTTTAAGTGTAAAAACAAGTTGTAAATAAATAGTAACCATTTCCTTTGAAAAATGCATTGTTAGCTTTAGCATAAAGTCTAGAGCTAAGCTTCAGTTCATATTGGTTTTATTTGGAAAATGAGATGGAAAGAAGGGAGCTTCCATTAGCCCATCATCACTGCTATATTTTGATCAAATTGAGCATGTATTTACATTTTTAAAAGAAACATTTAAATATATTTATATTTAAAAGATAAACAAGAGCAACTCAAGTGTTTAAAAAGTAAGTCTTGCTCAGCACAGAACTTAAGGGCAATAAAATATCAAATTGTAAAGCCTATTACAAAACAAATAAATGGGGTGAAACTGTCACATTTAGCTTTCTCATTTACAAGTGCAAGGTTTTTGTCCAGAAAGCTGCAAGAAGGGTATTTCACTATTGAGGAACCAATTACGGCGTTTATGGAAAATAACGCCTTTTGACCCTCCTAAAAACAAACAAACAAAAAAAAAAATACATTATCAGGGTCCATTTTTGCCAAGATAGAAAACTCAGATTAAGGGGACATATCCACGACCCTCGGGAATTGTCCAACAGAGAACACTCTTTTCCCATCAGGAGTAAACCCAGACTCTTCTCACGTTGGCCCGGGACGTGGCGGTGGGAGGAGGAGCTAGACGGGTAAACATCCCCGGACTCCACCCGCTGGGAGGAAGGATGCGCCAGCACCCGCACCGCCCAGGCCGCCCCGGAAGAGCTAGAACTGAGGCCCACCCTACCCCCCCGGCCACCTCTAGACTCCGCGGAGCTAGGCGGCAGGGCAAGGCGAGAAAGCGGCGGCGGCTGGGCTGGGGAGCCCCTGGAAATGCGCGTCACCACCTGCTGAGCTCCGCCCACCACCCGTTCCGCAGGTCTAGAGCCTCGGAGTCCACACACCCCTCAGTGGGCGTGGGAGAGGCTAAGAACTGCGGGCCCCAGGGGCGGGGTTCTAAGGGGGGCGGGGGGAGGGAGAAACGAGAGTTTCCTGGAAAGAGTAAAGATTTCCGCGTGTGTTCATATAGATTGCAACTAACTTGTTGATGACTGTATACCTTTACCCCCCATCTTATAAGTAGGGTCCAGTTTTAAAAAATCATTGTCATAGGGGCGCCTGATTGGCTGAGTCGGTTAGGTGTGGGACTCCTGATCTCAGTTCAGGTCTTGGTCTCAGCCCGCAGTTTTGCTCGGCGCTGGGCGTGAAGCCAACTTAAAAAAAAGAAAAGAAAAGAAAGGAAGGAAGAACGAGAGAAACAGTAAAAAGATGTTCTTATAATATTATGACTGTGTGACCATAATTTGTTTTTTTTAAAAATCAACAAAATGCGCATTATAAGGTTTAAGCAGGATCTTCTCCAGCAAATGTGTGATTTGCTTGATAACCATTTTATTATTTTCCATTGTGTGTTCTTTCGTATATTATGTATTCTTGAAATTTGCTTTTTTTTTTTCTCCTTTCCTGGGATAAACTCTATTGGTCACACTTTCTTTTATACTACGGTTGTTGTGCGCCATATTCAAGTGTCTGTATTTACATTTCTCAACCTTATTCTCAACAGATATTTGTACCTTTACTTCTCTGAGCAGCTTTGCGTTTAAAAGGTACATTGATGGAGAGAGAATCCCTATTTTTTCTTTGTATTACAAAAATTTGAAAAACATAAGAAAAGTAGAAAATGGTAAAATGAACATATATAGCCAGCCATGCCATTGACTTAAGAAACCTTACTTAAACTTTTGCCATATTTGCTGTTAGTTTTTGCTGAAATTTCGTAAAGCGAATTAACAAAGTTAATTTCAGTGCTAAGTGCGGCACTATGCATACCTTTATAAAATCAATACATTTTCCAATATAATTCCACTTAACAGTTAACTGTAATGTTCCTTAATATTCCTTATTGCCAGTCCACATTCAAATTTCTCAAATTGTTCCCGACGTCCTTGGCGATAGTTGCTTTTCCGTTTGGGGGTTGATGGAGGACCACACATTGCATTTCGCTTTAATGTTCAAATTTAACCTCTACACCTGGAGGCTCTGAGGGATCCTGGGTAGGAGACACTATCAAAGACATTTTCCAACCGTCTACTAAGAAACTGCAAAGTAACGTCAAGGCGTGGAGGTTTATGGCAAATGTGATCTTGAATCTGGCTGGCTCATCATGCAACAGTCTGTGCACGAACCGTCTGTGCCACACCCCCGCGCGTGCAGGCCCTGCTCTGCCTTCCTGCTTCTGCACTCTCTGCCCTGGTGGGGAGGTGCTGCCTAGGCCTTGGTTGTACACATCTGGAATGGAAGGCGGGTGTGGAGACTCTGCGCTGCCTGGAAACACTGAGTAGAGTGGGCTTGTGACCCAGACTGCGGGAGCAGGAAGTCTTAAGGACCATCCCCCTCACTCCTACCCCCACCCTTGGGCTCAACCTCCAAGTCAGGCTTCCGGATGCAGTTGAGACTGAGCACACGTAAGGAACAGGTGTTCGGTGCACGCTGGGATCTGCGGGAATCGGTGCCCGGCCCCACCTGCAGCACAACCAGAGAAAAGCCCCTGTTGGTGGCAGGAAGGTAAAAAGTATTTATATTGTAGACTGTGAGCGTGCCAAAGAGCACCAGAGGTGGGTCTGCGGTGGTACCCAAGCTCTGGAGCCAGAAAGACGAGGTTGGGGGGGGGGGGGGGAAATTCCATCTGTCACCTGTAAGTAGGGACTAGAAAAGGAACCTGGATAAGAAGTATCTCAACTGACAATGAAGGTATTAATAACTGTCTCATGGCGTTGTTTTGAAACGTAAGTCTAAGTTGTAAATCAAATAGGCTGGTTCAGGGTACTAAGCCCTAAGTGACAACTGTTGTTTTATATTTAGAAGACATTTTGTTCCTTTTAATTGGGTAGTTTATGTAAACCTCACAACCATTCTAACCATTCTGTGAGATGGGTATAATCATTTGCATTAAAAATAACAACCAAGGCTCAGGTTGGTGGAGTGAATGTGCCCAGGTCAGAAGGTAGCAGGGAGGGAGTTTGGATTCAAGGGCAGGTGTGCTTTACTTCTAACCTCAGGCTTTGTGTAAATGTAACACCTTCCTAAAAACAGCACTGCAGCCTTCAGAGCACTTAGCAGAGTGACCTGTCCCTAAATCCCCAGAGATATAATGGGAAGTGAATGTAAGATAGAATCTACCATGCCTCAAATGTGTTCTAGGATTTCTGGTGTCTCCTCAGATCCCTTGAGTCAGACAGAGCCTTCTAGCCCCCAATGCACTGGCAGTCTGTATTTTCAGTCTGAGATTATAGTGAATTCCAAGAGGCTCCACTTTGTGGCCTTAGAATTAGTTCCTCAGGCTCAGGAGCTGGGGCTCCTAGGAAATTCACTTTAGAGCAAAGCAGCTTTTAAGAAGCAGGAAGCAAGGGACTCTGGTAATAAGAATCTTCCCTGGAAGAGAGCACCCCTTCACCTTAGACTTCAATCCAGAATTTCAGAGTAGAGACAGGAGAACCCACAAAGGTCTGCACAGCCAGAAGCATTTCTTGATCCCCCTGTCAAGAATGAGACAGACTGGAATGCAAGCTGGTGCAGCCACTCTGGAAAACAGTATGGAGGTTCCTCAAAAAATTAAAAATACCCTACGACCTAGCAATTGCACTACTAGGCATTTATCCAAGGGATACAGGTGTGATGTTTCTAAAGGACACATGCACGCCCATGTTTATAACAGCACTATCAACAATAGCCAAAGTATGGAAAGAGCCCAAATGTCCCTCGGATGAATGAATAAAGAAGAGGCGGTATATATATATACAATGGAGTATTACTTGGCAATCAAAAAGAATGAAATCTTGCCATTTGCAATTACATGGATGGAACTGGAGGGTAGTATGCTAAGTGAAATTAGTCAGAGAAAGACAAAAATCACATGACCTCACTCATATGAGGACTTTAAGAGACAAAACAGATGAACATAAGGGAAGGGAAACAAAAATAATATAAAAACAGGGAGGGGGACAAAACAGAAGAGACTCATAAATATGGAGAACAAACTGAGGGTTGCTGGAGGGGTTGTGGGAGGGGGGATGGGCTAAATGGGTAAGGGACATTAAAGAATCTACTCCTGAAATCATTGATTCACTATATGCTAACTAATTTGGATGTAAATTTTTAAAAATTAAAAATAAAATTAAAAAAAAAAAAGAATGAGACAGACTTGGTGATGCCACCACATTCAGAAGTCACAACATTGTGTGACAGTGGGAAGTGTGGGCCAGCTTTGAGAAGAGCAAGGTGAGCAAGGGGTAGGTTGCTCAGGAAAGGCCACTTTGTTGGAAAGCTTGTGAGAACGAGGTCTGTGGGTACCCTTAATCAGGAAGAAGAAAGAAAGTCTGCCTTCACTTTTCCTAAATGGCCCCATGCTTTACAGATGCTGCTGTCACATGTGTCCATCACCTTACATGATGATTCATGAAGAGTTTCCATGCTCATCTACCTCTGACTTATTGAAAACTTTAAAGAACCTTTAAAGATCCAAGAATGTCAGTCAATTGTCCAGAGTCACCTATATGACAGATCTGAAAATCAAAGTGCCATTATTTGGTGTCAGGTCCATGTTTCAGTTCATTTATGTTTAATGAAGAGTAGTAATCTTTTATGTGGCGGTTCACAGTTTGTTTATCCATTCACCAACTGATGCATATTTGGATAATTTTCAGCCATGAACATTTATATACAGGTTTCTATGTGTGGACATATGTCTTCACTCTCTTGGGTGAATACCAAGGAGTGAATGACATTGCTGGATCTCATAAGAAGTGTATGTTTGGCATAATAAGGAGCTGTCATACTTTTTCAAAGTGGCCGTACCATTTTTCATTTCCATCAGCAAGATGTGAGGGGTCTAGTTGCTCTGCATCTTCATCTGAATTTAATGATGTCAGGTTTTTCTATTTGAGCCATCATATTGCTTTGTAATGGTATTACATTTTAGTTTTAATTTGATTTTTCTAATGTATAATAATGAGTATGTTTTTGTTTGTCATCTGTTCCTTTTTGATGAAGTGCCTATTTGATCTTTTCCTCATCTTAAAAAGTTGTTTCTTACTGATTTCAAGAGTTGTATATATGCTACAAAAGTTTTTCCAAAGATAAATGATTTGTAGATACTTTCCCTCAGCCTGTGTTTTTTCATATTCTTAATAGTATTTTTCAAAAAGCAGAGGTTTTTACTTTAAGGAACAAGAAAAACCTCAAATAAACTAACCTTAAACCTAAAGGAACCCCCCCCAAAAAAAACAACAACAACCTCAACAAGTGAAGCTGAAAGCCAACAGAAGGAAGGGAATAATAAAGATTAGAGCAGAAATAAATGATATAGAAACAAACAAAAAACAGTAGAACAGATCAATGAATGAAACCATAAGCTGGTTCTTTGAAAAAATTAATAAAATTGATAAACCCCTTGCCAGGCTTATGAAAAAGGAAAGAGAAAGGACCCAAATAAATAAAATCACAAATGAAAGAGGAGAAATAATAATGAACAGCATAAAAATATAAACAATAATATAAGAATATTATGAAAAACTATATGCCAAAAAATTGAACAAGCTGGAATAAATGGATAAATCCCTAGAAACACATAAACTTCCAAAACTGAAACAGGAAGAAATAGAAAACTTGAATAGACCGATAACCAGCAAAGACATTGAATCAGTAACACAAATCTCCCAACAAACAAAAACCCTGGCCTCACAGGGGAATTCTACCAAACATTTTAAAAAGAGTTAATGCCTATTCTTCTCAAACTATTCCAAAAAAATAGAAAAGGAAGGAAAACTTCCAACCTCATTCTATGAGGTCAGCATTACCCTGATACCAAAATCAGATAAAGACTCCACTAAAAAAGAGAACTACAGGCCAATATCCCTAATGAACATAGATGTAAAAATTCTCAGCAAAATGCCAGCAAATCAAATCCAAGATTCACTCACCGTGTTCAAGTGGGATTTAGTCCCAAAATTCAAAGGTGGTTCAATAGTCACAAATCAATGAGCATGATACACCACAATAATACAAGAAAGAATAAGAACCATATGATCCTTTCAATAGATGCAGAAAAAGCATTTGACAAAATACAAACATCTATTCATGATAAAAACTCTCAACAAAGTTGGTTTAGAGGGAACATACCTCAGCATAATAAGGGAGCCATATGCAAAAAAATGCACAGTTAATATAATAATCAATGGGGAACAACTGGTAGCTTTTCCTCTATGGTCAGGAACAAGATAGAGATGTTCTCTCTCACCACTGTTACTTAACATAATACAAAAGTCCTAGCTATAGCCATCAGACAGCACAAATAAATAAAAGGCATCTAAATCAGCAAGGAAGAAGTAAAAGTTTAACTCTTTGCAGATGACATGATACTCTATATAAAAAACCTGAAAGACTCCACCAAAAAATTATGAGAACTGATACATGAATTCAGTAAAGTCTCAGGATACAAAATCAACATAAAGAAATATGATGCATTTCTATACACCAATAATGAAGCAGCCGAAAGAGAAATTAAGGACTTCATCCCTTTTACAATTGCACCAAAAACCATGAGATAGCTACTAATAAACCTAACCACAGAGGTGAAGGACCTGTACTCTGAAAACTATAAAACACTGATGAAAGAAATTGAAGAAGACACAAAGAAATGGAAAGGCATTCCATGCTCATGGATTGGAAGAACAAATATTGTTAAAATGTCTATACTACACAAGGCATTCCATACATGCAATGCAATCCCTATCAAAATACCAACATCATTTTTCACCAATGTAGAACAATCCTAAGATTTGTATGGAACTGCAAAAGACCCCAAATAGCCAAAACAATCTTGAAAAGAAAAAACTGAAGGCATCACAATTACAGATTTCAAGTTATGTCACAAAGCTGTAGTGATCAAAACAGTATGGTACTGGCACAAAAATAGACACAGATCAATGGAACAGAATAGAAAACCCAGAAATGAACCCACACCTATAAGGTCCATTAATGTTACACAAAACAGGAAAGACTATCCAATGGGGAAAAGACAGTCTCTTTAACATACGGTGTTGGGAAAACTGGACAGCAACATGCAAAAGAATGGAACTGGAGTACTGTCTTAGACTATACACAAAAACAAATTCAAAATGTATGAAAGACCTAAATGTGAGACAGGAAACCATTAAAATACCAGAGGAGAACACATGCAGTAACCCTTGTCATCAGCCACAGTAACTTCTTTCTAGATATGTCTCCTGAGGCAAGAGAAACAAAAGGAAAAATAAACTATTGGGAGTTCATCAAAATAAAAGCTTCTGCACAGCAAAGGAAACAATCAACAAAACTAAAAAGCAACCTTTGGAATGGAAGAAGATATTTGCAAACAACATAACTGATGAAAGGTTAGCATACAAAATATATAAAGAACTTAAACAGCTAAAAAACAAATAATACAATTAAAAAATGGGCAGAAGATATGAATAGACATTTTTCCAAAGAAGATATCCAGATGGCTAACAGACACATGAAAAGATTCTCAACATCACTCATCATCTGGGAAATACAAATCAAAACTACAGTATGACCTCACACCTGTCACAATGGCTAAAATCAACAATAAGAAACAACAGATGCTGGTGAGGATATGGGGAAAGGGGAACCCTTCTACACTGTTGAGAATGCCAACTGGTACAGCGTTCTGAAAAATGGTGTAGAGTTTCCTCCAAAAGTTAAAAATAGAACTCTTCAACCCAGAAATTGCATTACTGGTATTCACCCAGAGAATATAAAAGTACTACTTCAAAAGGATACATGCACCCCAATGTTTGTAGCAGCATTATCGACAACAGCCAAATTATGGAAATAGCCCAAGCATCCACTGACACATGAATGGATGGCAGATGAATATATATATATATATATATATATATATATATATATAATGGAATATCACTCAGCCATAAAAAAGAATGAAATCTTGCCATTTGCAACAATGTGGATGGAGCTACAGAGTATTATGCTAAAAGAAATAAGTCAGTCAGAGAAAGACAAGTATCATATGATTTCACTCATATGTAGAATTTAAGAAACAAAACAAATGATCATAGGGAAAGGAAAAGAAAGAGGGAGGCAAACCAAGAACCATACTCAACTATACAGAACAAACTGATGGTTACCGGAGGGGAGGTATGTGGGAAACAGGTTAAATAGGCGATGGTGTTAAGAAGTACACTTGTGATAAGCACTGGGTGTTGCATGTAAATATTGAATACCTGATTTGTACACCTGAAACTAATATTATACTATATGTTAGCTAATTGGAAATTAAATAAAATCTTAAAGAAAAAGAGCAGAGGTTTAATTTATCAATTTTCATAATTTTCAACGCTTTTATTTCATGGGTGTATTAATCTATTTGGACTGCCATAACAAAATACCACAGACCAGGTAGATTCAACAACATAAGTCCAAGAGCAAGATGTGATCAGTATTGGTTTCTAGTGCAATCTCTCTTCCTGGCTTGCAGAGGGCCACCTTCTGTGTCCTCACATGGCCTTTTATCTGTGCACACACACAGAATGAGAGTGTTCTCAGGTGCTTCTACCTCTTCTAAGAACATCAATTCTATCAGATCAGGACCCCACCTTTATCACCTCATTTAACCTTAATTACCTCCTTATGGTCTGGCCCTATCTCCAAATACAGCCACATAGGGGTTAAGGCTTCAACATACATGGGAGACACAGTTCAGCCCATAACAGTAACTTATACTTTTTTGTGTGTCTTATCTAAGAAATATTTGCCTAATATGGTCACAAGCCTGTCACTTTTTTTTTTCCTTTTATAAGTTTGAAAGTTATAGCACCATTTGTTGAGAAGTATATACCTTCTCTGTTGGATTGCCTTGGTTACCTCTGTTGGGAATCAATTGAATATAAATATGTGCCTCTGAAATACAAGTCTGGTTCTGAGTACTACCTCCAGGGTTTAAATGGATCTCTTTATTGATTCCCCATTACCCTAGCAGAGGACCCAGAGTGAGGATGTGTGTACCCTAGTGAGTCACTGGTATACAGGAAATGATTATGGGAAGCTTATTTATAATGACTTTATCTTTAAGAAGGTACTAAGTTTGGGGCACATGGGTGGCTCAGTTGGTTAAGCGTCCAACTTCAGCTCAGTTCATGATCTCATGGTTCATGGGTTCGAGCCCCGTGTCAGGCTCAGTGCTGACAGCTTGGAGCCTGGAGACTGCTTCAGATTCTGTGTCTCCCTCTCTCTGCTCCTCCCTTCCTCTCTCTCTCTCAAAAATAAATAAATATTAAAAAAAATTTTTAAGGCACAAAGTTTTATCAGTAATAATATTAACTGGTAGCATATGTACATATTTTTGAAATATATACAGATGAATTAGGACATGAAAATAATATTGATACTAATTGTGTGATGCCTCAGAGTATAAGACAGAGTTAGGTTTTTAATAACATTTTATAATTTTATTTATTTTATATTTTGTTTTAAACTGTTAACAGTAAACATTATATAAGAGTTTTCAGAGGTCATGTCACCAGTTTCTAAACACTCCAGACTGATCAGAAATGTGCTCTTACAGGCAGCACCATCATTCAAGGATGTGACTGTGGAGTTCACCGAGGAGGAGTGGAAGCATCTGGGCCCTGCTCAAAGGACTCTGTACAGACACATGCGCATCCCAGTGGATGAGCAGACCTTGCCACGTCATTGCCTCGAGAATGCAATCCTGTTTTTCATGATTGCTACTTTTATCATATGTGTCATATCCTGTTCTGTTTCTACTAATTAACTTTTCTCCTGGTTAAGGGTCATATGTGCCTTCTTTGCATGCTTTGTAATTTTTTTTATTAGATTCTAGTTGTTATTGATTTTACATTATTGGGTGCTATATTTTTTGGTATTTTAAAATGTTTTGGGGCTTTCTCTGGAATAAAGCTATGTTATTTGGAATTAGTTTGATCCTCTCAAGGTCTGCTATTAAGCTTTGTTCTGTAGGATTCAGAACACCTTCTGGTTTAGGGCTAATTTTGTTCCAGTACCAATTTTGTTCCTGTAGCCTTCAGGTTATTCTACATATCCTCCATTAGTTAAGAAACC